GAAAGTCAAATATGTACTTTTCAGCTATTGGTTTTATCTACGATGTTAAAAAGGGCCCGTTCTGGGAACATAGCCCGATGTTATATGATATCTCAGGAATAAAAGATGGCTGGGGAAAGATTAATAAGGTAATGAATCAAATTTTGCCATGCTTTTTAGGAACCGTGTAACAATTTCTAACTATTGATGTGAAAGTAGGGCATGATCAAAATGTATAATGCGGAGGTTTTGTCAAAGTTCCCCGTGGTACAGCACTTTCCCTTTGGGTCATTATTTGTTTGGAAACAGGACCCAAATGCCACCTCAACAGCTCCATCGGCACATACATCAAGTGGGCCACAGATTCGAACGCAGATCCCGACGTCTCCATCCCTCTCTGCTCAATCAAACGCGGGTACCCGAGCTCCATGGGCTTCGAAACCTACTAGTGTCGAAATGGGGGACCTTCGAGGAGGAGTACCGTCGTCTCACCAAATACCAGCTACAAGAGCTCCGTGGGCCAGCCAAGGTGGCCAGCAGCGAAACCTACCACAGCGAGAGCCATTTCCACCTGCAAATTCCTCAGAGAGGTGAATACTCATCGCACGTTTGGTTAACTCAATGTGTAGCAGTACATAAAAAATAAAGAAATAGTCGTGCCTTCGCGCACCCATCGCTGATGAATGTACCTCATCGCAATGAAATTACACCGATCTGATATTACACTAATAATATACTAAAACACTAAATTTATATAGGGAGGTATATCGAGGCAAATTTTATATCTCCACCACTATATTAAATAGAGCCTCTCTAAATAAAAGAGAGGTTTTCTTTATTGTCAAGAAACCTACCCTTCCCGAGAAAATCAAATAAAAATTACCCTTCTTACTAGTTACTGGATTATATGGGAAAATATTATATATTATTTTCCTATTATATCTCCTTACATTAAATTAGAAAAATATATCAGGAAGTATTATTCACTAGTAAAGAGGACTCTATTATATCTAATAGCTATATAATACTCATGGTGCTTAAGATATGGAATTTGTCTTGATATACCTCTCCACATAAATTTGGTGTTCTGGTATATTATTAGTGTAATATTGCAATGAGGCGCACCCAAAAGGGGTGGGTGTGTGAATACACAAGCATTTCTTGATGTATGCTCCCTACTTCTAGTAATATGGCAAATGGTTATGCAGTTCAAGTAGAAATAAATATATGGGTATCAAAAATAAATAAAAATAAATAAATAAATACCAGACTCCAAACATGCAACTTAAGGTGCCCTCTCTATGTCTATGAGTTCATCAAGGTACTAATCCGACTCCGACCCGTAATCCACCAGCCCGGAACTAAGAGGTATCTGACCTTCTGGCTTTTGGGAGGGTTTTAACTGGCAGCGATTCCCCTTAGCGCTACCTTCATTTCTGGTCTCGTTGTTTCTGGTTTCCTTATTCTTGGCGAGTTTATCGTCTGCTGCATCATCACTTTCATCTCGTGTTCCAGTCAATATCTCATTTGCCAACTTGCTTGGCCTTCTTTTCTTTGCAGCACTTGGTGGATGTTGCCAAATAGATTCGTCTATGAGAAGAAATGGATCGACCGCTGCTTTCGTGTTTCCTTGAAGCTTCCTTTGTAATTGAGCCTTTTTCTCAGCAATCAGACCCCCCCTTTTTTCCCGCTTCTTCATTTGACCAGATTTGGAAGTAATAATCTGCTTATGTTGCGTGGAGGTATCTTCGAAAAGTGGTTTCGTTCGAAGGTTCGACGGCAAGGTCAGGGAGGAGCCAGGGTCACTTTCTTGCCCGAATTCAACTACCCCAGCACGAACACGGTCACCCTCAGTCTCATCAAGTAAATCGACCCCCAAGCTATATTTTTCTTTAATAGCTTCCGTCTCGGATTGTGTTGCCTCCCGTTTCTTTCTGTCTTCCCTAAATGCCCTTCGGAGCTTTTTTGAATTTTCATACGGATCTTCCCAGTCGCGATCCTGTCTCTTTAATAGTTCGTCCATCCGCATCTTTTCAGTCATGTATTTATTTTTATCAGCAATTTTCCCCTCTAGGGCAGCAAACGGGTCCGTTGTCTCATTTTCTCCCTCATTTCCAGGCATTCGTACTCGAATTTCCCCAGCTCCAGTAGAAGTCTCCTCATACTCTCCCTTTCCTATATCCGCGGTAACCTTCCGTCTTGCTCCCTCAGTAACCACATATTCTGTGTGTTGGGGATCTGTCCGTATCTCTATCCAACCCCCACATACGCTATGCTTCATGCGGAAGCTATATATAGGGGTGGAATAGTAATTTCCAACCTTCTTCTTAAGAGCGTTGAATCGTACTCCTTGTCCTATGATCACGGATTCTGCCGGTTGACAAGTCGAGCACCAAATTGGAAATGGCATCTCAAATCTCACTGTAAGTTCTCCCGTAGTTTGCAGGTTTCGAGCGCGAGCACCGAGTGCATGCTTGCCAGCAAGCTTATTCCCAGAGACGACTCCTTCGTACTCCGGAGGGACATATCTGATTCGTCATTAGATTATTCGTATCTTCGTTGGCTATTCAATCAATGCTTTGGGGGGTAGAAGGTTTTAGAACGCACCGTCCCATATCTGTTAGAGAACTTGTGTCAATAATTATCATTGAAAATGAGTGATCCATAGAAAAGACTTACTAAAGCCCTGCATCGTGTGGGAAGTTATAGAGACCAGCCTCTATTAAAATAGCTACCCAGAGACTCTATTGAACTGCACAGCATGTATGGCAATCGTATCCAGATGAAGCGCTTGGTGCTTTGTATGTCTAAAATATGCACACTCGACGTCATTTAACTCGAAACTAATTTTGAGCCGCACTCCCACGTGACCATAACTAACTAGGTAGGTAGTTAGTCCATAACTAATGGGTAACTACAGTCTCCACTAGTTCTCACAATTATTTATATTGCACCCCAACCAAAATCCTGTCACTGAGAATCTACCTTATTTCAAATAATAATTATTCTATTCTTATAATATACTCAAAGATAGCTACACCGAATCATGAAAAAGGTTATGAAACGGCTCTGCATGCCCCGGAACTGATTTCACACATGATATGCAAATCTTCAACACTCTCGCCGATATGTAACTTCACCCCTTTCCCATCAACCGGAGCCTTCCAATCCTGAGTCACCACATCCCAAACACTCAAGTCCTTCCGGGTGAGTTCCATTCTCAATATCTCTTCTTGCCCTGGAGCAAGTTTTGAGGTCTTTTCAAATTGACGTAGCTGCAATTTGGGTGTGTTTGCAGCCAGTTCAGCCGGCAATTCGACATACAGTTGAGCCACGGCACGACCGGGCACTTGTCCTGTGTTCTTGACTTTGACTGCGACGGTGAATACTACATCCCATAGAGCTGGATTCCCACCTTGAGACCCTCCAGCTCTCGGATCAGGTTGTGGCGTGGTCTGATACCCCTTGGGATATATGAACTTCGAATCGGCTTTGACGCCAGCTGGATTATCAAGATATGGATACAGATAACGCCATATCCTAGGGAAGTTCTTCGGCCATGCAACTTCGGAACCATCTGGAATTTTATCAGTATATATCGGTGTCGTGCCCTTTGGCATCCGAGGAGGAGGATACTCGGATAGTCGGGTTCCAGCGGTTATCGTAGCCCCGTTAAATCCGAAAGTTGTATAAGAGAGCCCATAGCCAAATGGGTAACGGACCGATTTTCCTTCTTTCTGGAAGTGGCGGTAGTCGACATATAAGCCATCAACAAAATTGTCCTGGATCTGCCCAAATGGCTGGTTTAAAAGGGATGAGCTTGGAGAATAGTCCGATTCAGATTTCGGGATTGTATAAGGGAGGTGGCCGCTGGGACTGACATCACCAAAGAGAATGTCTGCCACTGCATTCCCCGCCTCTTGGCCTGGAAGATGGGCAATAAGGACACTTTTTACTGCGGGCAGGTCAACCCATTTCTCCAGAAGTGTCGGCCCAACAGTGTGTACGACCACAACGACGCTTGAGAATTTCTTGGCTGCTTCTTGGATCAATTTATCGCCTCCGTACCATAGTTCCAGGCCAGCATAGCTTCTATCTCCGGGATTTCTTTCAACTGTGATATAATTTTCTCCAGAGTCGGAGTTGACAAAGACAATAGCGACATCCTCCGGGTTTACCTTAATATTCGAAGGAAATTTGTTCGTGATATAGGATTTGGAAGTTGTCGACCTGTTCTTGATGGCTTCTTCTGGTGTACTCAGGTATGGTAACCTGGAAGTTCCGCTACCCCAACCCATTGTTAGGACACCCTTATTGCAGCCTTTATCGGCGCAATAATTAATCCCTTTTGGATTTGTGCCTGCATCTTCACCGAATATTGCTAGAGATGCACTTGTCTTCAGTGGGAGCAAGTTATCTTTGTTCTTGACAAGTGTAATAGCGTCTCTCGCAATAGTCCTCGCAATTTCCTTATGGTTCCCCTGGACATCGACGAATTTGTTGACTATGCCCTTTGGAGAAAACACGGCTCCAGGATAGAGAAGGCCACTCTCTTTTTGGGTATTGGTTGAGAAGTTTGGTTCCGGGTAGTTGTCATCTTGTCCAAACTGAAACCAGGTCGCAACAATTCTAGTTACCTACGTAACACAGTTAGAAAATTGCTAACGACTTTATAAGCTTATAAAGGCTGAACCAGAAATTGGAATTTTTAAGAAATACGCCCATACCATGTCGTTAAGGCGCTCCAAAGGAATGGTCCCATTGAGAATGGACCTGGACATCTCGTATGCCCAGAATGCGCCACCCGCCAGCGGGACTGGGCCATCACCAGGCATAGCCATATCAAGGCCTGCTAGGGCCGAGGAGACTCCGCCAATTTGGCCAAACCAGTCGCTCATAACTAGTCCTTGGAAACTAAGCTCATCTTTAAGGATTCCGTTTATGAGAAGACTATTCTGGCTACAGGTAGAACCATTTACCTGTCAAATAGCCGTTAGCATCACCATCTCCACAGATAACATCTAAGCTGAGATAATGAATATAAGTGGTTGTGGTACATCGTTATACGCCATCATCAATGCTCCAACTCCAGCCCGGACTGCCTCCGCGAATGGCCATAGATATAATTCATGCAATGTTCGATCATCGATATTCGACGAATACCCGCGCTGCACCACGTTTGTCATGCGATGGATTTCTTGTTCGTTCCCAACAAGATGTTTCACCGTTGCTATAACACCGGACTTCTGGACACCTTTGATAGTCAAGGCACCACCAATGGCTTGAAGTGACGGGTCGGCCCCAAAGCCTTCCCAATTCCGACCACCTCGAGGTTTACGTCCAAGGGGACCAACTGAGGGTCCCAGATGAAAATTCACTCCCTTGCCACGGAATTCCTCGCCCATAGCAACTCCACGCTCGTACATGAGCTTTTTATCGAAAGTCGCTCCAACAGTAATTCCGGCAGGGAAAGCAGTGTTATGATCTGTGTTCCGCACGCCCAGGGGCCCATCCTGAAGGCAGAGATTTGGTATACCGAAGCGCAAAGCACTGCCTGTTTGGCCGACACAAGGACCCATAAAAATCCCAGTTCCTGTCGTCAGGTTCACCTTTTCCGCAAGAGTCATATTGGCGACAACCGCAGCAGCCTTTGCGTATGCAGCCTGCCATTCCTGGACCCAGCCTCCTTTGGGTGTTGGGTAGTAAGGAGGCGAGTTATAACCGGGAGGGACATCAGCGCGTACATTCAGAGTCGATCCAGACGCAGTGGTAAATAGACAGGCAAAAAGAAGAAGAGGGGGAACCAATCTCCATGTCTCGCTAATGAACAACATGGTCAATTCTCATTCTTGGTTTATAATATTCGGCCAAGGACGATTATATCCAGCCGTTGCCTGGGAATGCAAGCCTTATTATTTAAACATTTGGCACTCTACAATTTCACCTTGTGAGGGTGGCCCATGCTACGGAGAACCGCACCATATACCCAGCAATGGGGTCTCCTCCATCTACCATGCTTGCAGCCACCAAGGCTGCAGCTAGCTGATCACACTCCATCTGTAGCCGATCGCCACTGCCCCTGTTCGGCTTCGAACTCTGGTGGAATGTGATTTCACAAACCACAGCCATTATTATTGCATGTACGGAGTACCCCGTAGGGAGGGGTAGAAAAGGTTACTTCCGATTCTTTTAACTACTTGATCAGCAGAACTGGTTATTGTACCCATGATGGAGGCTCGTTTTCGGCATCATGTGTTTTGTATCATGTTACACACTCCATGATGCTTACCTATCAACTGGTGTGGCCCTGCAATTTGAATCAGCTAAATAGTTAGTAATTGGTAAACTATTGTCTTGTATTCTAAGGAGTAACCCGTTGCGTGTTCTCCATAGATAGAGTGGACTCTTCAAAAAATTTCCGCCTGTCGAGCAAAATCTCCAACTCAATGTCTAGCATGATGTAGCATTCATTGAGAGGGAAAAAAGGGGGTTGGAGTTACGAGTTCGTTAACTAGCAGCTGACTAACTAATTAAGGAGGTCAACTATTTTAGCTAGGCTGTATCACAATGTCCAAGCAGCCACGAGCCCCTTTAGGTCATGATCCCACCGAGATCATTTCTACATCTAAAGTCTTGCATGAAGTGGATAACTGCCTAATAATTCTCTATATAAAAAAGGCGATAACATGTGGGGAACATCTAGCTCCTACGGAGTACTTATAAGCAAAAGCAAGAAGCAACCGGCTAACCATCGGAACATTTCAAAAAGAGCTGTCGAGAACCAGCACTCAGTTAGAAAAGTATCCAGGGAAGAGCCACGACATCTTAGAAAGTGCCGAGGCACTAATGTTGCCAGGTTTCGTACTCAAGCCGAATTTTGCACTACCTTCAAGGTGTTTCCCCTTAACTAGGTCTGCGTGTTCGTCCTTGGTCAGTTCGTCCAGGACAGCGCTGATGAAATTTTTTGCATTTACAGCGTTTGCTTTCATGTTGCCCATGACCATTTCGACGGTGACATCCTCAGTGCCGCAGTGCCAGCAATCATAATCCGTTGACATGCAGATCATCTGATATGCCATTTCCGCTTCACGTGCTAGTTTGGACTCTGGCAAGCAAGACATGTTGATGACACTGCCACCCCAGCTACGGTAGAGGTTGCTCTCCGCGCGGGTGCTGAACTGTGGGCCCTCTATAATCGAGATGTCAGCGTTTGTTCACCCTTCCCTCGAAGCTATATAGTAAATACTGAGCAGCGTAGGTAACTTGGTGGTTAGTTTGATAAGCGGAAAAGAATGAGCCTACCCATGCATATCAAAGTGCCACGGTCATGGAGAACGACTCCCTCCCCCTCCAGACTATGGCCGCAAGCCCTAACAACTTTGGCCATTTTCTCGTCGAACGGATCGGCAAATCCAACGTGGTTTACAATTCCATCCTCAAAGAACGTCCACGGCCGAACTCCTTTGGTACGATCAATTACTTGGTCAGGGACCACAAAATCTCTGGGCTTAATTTCTTCTTGCAAGCTGCCAACAGCGGAGAATGCTACAACGCTACGGACTCCGATAGATCGTAGAGCAGCAATATTGGCACGGCTTGGAACCTCGTGAGGAGAAAGCTGATGATGAAGGCCATGTCGGCTAATGAATGCGATTGGGACAACCTTGCCGCTAGTGGAACAGGTGTGGTGAAGGATTGAAATCGGTGAGGATGGTTCGCCCCATGGGGTTGTGATGTTGAGGGTTGCGACTTTTGTGAAATGAGGGAGCTCACTCAACCCGGTGCCGCCGATGACGCCGATATGGACGGGCTCTAAAAGGGACAATTGTTAATCAATGATGCGCATTCAAAGCTATCAATACCGATCGGCGCCTTAGATTTCGAATCAACTGCTCGCCGGCCGCGGAGGGGTATAGAGGGGTAGATGTAGTAACGCAATTGAAGACATGGCTAGGAGTAGTAGATACCTTTATAAGTGTCAGAGGTAATGGTCATGGTGAATAGTGTCCGTAGTATAGACCGATATGGTGATTATCCGTCTATGCTTTGTGGTTTGTAGTTTGAAGTCGTGAAGTCGTTATCATCGAGGGGTTAGGTACTTTTTTTTGCTACTCTCCGATTTTTACCGCTGACTCAGCTCGCCCCTGGAGTATAGGGGGTCTCCAGGCGGAGATTTTTTCGCTATGGGATCGCGAGCTTGATGGGATAATTAATGAGGATAGGCTGGGTGGACAGTAGGTATAAGAGATCTATTACCTTTATATGTTAAGGTAAGCTTGCATATTGTGTCATGCCCTATCTAGATCTCACATAGCGCTAATTAATATCAGGGCGCACTTTTTATTAGCAATGGCATCTTCGGTATAAGAGAAAGCCATATTACTACGAAAGGGCAGTCTCCTCGGCTGCCAGGAAGAGATTTCTAGCGCATCCGAGAACCTGCTCCGTATAAATTTGCCTAGTCAATGCCACACTGCTACGGCGTATCTGATGGGTAGGCATGCAGTTCGGTTGCTTCTTAACATATTTATCTAGTCATTGTTGACTAGCTAGGCTGTCCACCTGTCCTAATCAAATACAACCTTCTTGCCCTGGAATGAAGTTTGTGCTTTTGACTGTTTGCGTTTAATTGCCGCCTGCCATGAAGGATGGAGCGGTTTGTCATTGTTGGGGGGCGCGGTTTTTGGTGTAGGCGGCACAGCTTGTACCTGGGCTGTATTTGATCCAGTAGCCTCCTTCCGTTGACCTCCACGTATCTTATTTCTTCCATATCTTCCTCTTGTATCTTCCTCCGTTGTAGCTCCACGGCGTAGATCCCAGCCGCTATCCCGATTCTTGCCTTGGGCTTGTTCCTTCGCCTGCTTTTGGATATGTCTCGCATTACTTCCATATTTCTTCTCCCAAAGCTTTCGTCTTGCCTGTTGGCCCATCCTATTCTTCCGTTCAGGGATGGCGGATGTGTAATCCTGCTCTGGCTCAGATTCAGAACCTGACCAGTATCCTCCCATGAGTGTCGGGAGGAATGTTGTAGCTGTAGTAGACTTTTGTTTGGGTTTTGAGGACTTTGTCGTAATAACATCTGATTCGTCGGACGTGTCTGATGATGTGGGTGATAATGACATGTCGTCCATTGGGTTGTATCTTGCACTTGCTGGCTTCGTTTTGTTATTGTCCCCATTGTCATTTCCATTCCCATCCTCCGAACCAGACGCAACAAGTCCATCAAACCGGGACATATTCATCTCTTCGTCGTCATGAGAGCCTTCTGGTTCTCCATCTGTACTCTCATCATTATCGCCCATGGCTCTATCTTCTCGCATACTCTTGGATAGCTGTTTTTGACCCCCTTTCGCTGCGAATTTCTTCGATTCCGTGTCCCCAGACAAACCAAGTATATGCCTTATATCATTCATAATCCCTGGAAAGACTTTCTTCACTGGATTTGAGTTGAACAACCGGGCAGAAACGTTGGCTTCAGCATCACCCTTCTTCCCCTCGTTTGATATGCGCTCCGCAAGCTTCAAATGAATAAATGCAGGTGATTCAGCAATTCGTTTCGTTTTAACCATCTGTTTTATCAGGTATCTTTCGGCGGTTTTATGCAAATCCAAGGCCTGGAGTTGCGGTAGTTAGGAATTGGTCTCGAGCTTAACATCCGGGCTATTAGAGCAGTAGTGTCGCACCTTCAAAGCTTCAACCTCATTCAAACGCCGATTCAAAAGCATTCTGTCGCTCTCTTGTCTTGCAGACTTTTCTCTCCGACCTAACTTCTGCCGTTCGAATCCTCTGGCAACTTTGAGTGCACGATGAAGAAGCACCACGCCATGTTGGACCGCCTGGTCAAGGCGTAGCCTCTGTATTCTCAGCTTCTTATCGCCCCAGTTATACGAATCGTCCTCTTCCAATACATCGCGCTTTCTTTTCGCCATTTTTTCAGGGTTTTCTGGATGGGCCGTGATAGTTCCAATAAGTTGATAGTTGAAGTTGTTGGAAGTTGAAGACTTAGCTAGTTAGCTATTTGCGCCAAGACATTTTTTTTTATTCCTTATCTTGAACTAGTTAACTCGCCAGCTAGTTAGTTGCGATAAGATCTATAACTAACTACTCTATTATTACCAATGAACGCAACTTACCTGAGGTACCTAACCAAGGCTGTGTAGGTTAGGTACCTAATATGACTTGAGCATGGAATGGTAAAGGCTATTCGTGTATGTCAGGTTTTATAGTTATGCTGGCGCAGAAACCGCTCCATAACTCGATAATGACTTAATTAGGCGCTAACGCGCAGATTGTTGTATATATGATGGTCTAGCCCAAAAGAAGAAAAAAAAAAAAAAAAAAAAACCCGACTATACGAGTCCGAATGAAAGCCAAAAATTAATCTAATGTGCAGGTATCTGGTATGCAAGGTTCTGAGTCGCTCATTTGAACATGTCCTCGCTGTGCTCTAAATCTTCTTCTTCGGCAAAACCAACTACCGTGTTGGTCATCTCATTGATGACGCTGATGACACGTCGTTTGCGGCGTACTGTGTTTCCTTCTGAATCTCGCTTCATGGCTGTATTTAGCGGGCTTGCAATGTTTGATTGCTTTTGCCGGTCCAGGATTTGTCGGACATTGTCAACCGTGCTGGTACTGGGTACGCGTACCCATTCTTCAACTTGATGTCCAATCGGCATATCGCGGTCGACATTTTCGATATTATCCTCTGGGTCATTGCACGCAACCATGTTCCGCAGCCTTCGGGGTGAAACAATGTAACCAGGCCGTATAAAAGCCCAAGGCTTAGAAGTCGAGCCTCGAAGGGACGCACGCATCACATCAACAACACGTAGTGGATAACCGTTCCTTGGTGATGCCGTGGGGATTAACTCTGCCGGGATCATGACATCTGTTATTGAACGACAAAGTGTTGTTTCAGTAGGTGGTAATGCTGGCTCAGGTTCATCTTGAATGCCGTTGACAGACATCGACTGTGAAGGGGTAGTCGATGTAGAAGTCAGGGGTGTTGAGCTCCCAGATATTGAGGTCGAAGCGGCGGCAGCTGTAGCAGCTCCGATAGCACCACCAGGGTGATATCCCTTGAAAACCTCAGCGGGCCCTCTTCCAGGTGTAGTATGAAGCCGTCG